CGCGGACCGGCACGAAGGGGAGGGTGGTGTCGGTGGGACCTAGGGACGCGCACAGCTCCCCCACCTCGAGCCAGGCCAAGGGGCTGATGACCACCCCCGGGCTGAGGCTGACCAGAGCGGGAGCTGCTCTAACACTTCTTTATCTTACACTTTGTTGCAGTTTTCAGGGTACAAGACTTTCTGTTTTGCTATTTGTCCTTAAGCATGTCCTATTCGTGCTATTATAAATAGTATTGCTTATATTTTATAATGTTTGATGGTTCATGGCTAGTGTATATAACACAATTCATTTCTACAGATGGACATTGCATCATACAAACCCAAACTGAAGCCCCAGCCAGCATTGTGAGTCACTCCTGGGCTTTGAGTGAGGCAAGGCTGATATCAGTCTCTTGATGGCTCCAGCATCTCTACTGAGAAGTTTTCATCTCTGAGCAAGGGATTTCTGCCTGCAGAAACATCAATGAGGTGAGCCAGAAAAACCCATGGATCATCCTGTAAGTTGAACTGAAGAAGAGAGCGTACATTGTCAGATGTACTCTTTTGGGGAATATCAGGTGCTCACAATAGAAGTCATCCCTGGGCTAGGCTTGTCAGAGCCTCTAGCAGGGGTGACTGCAAAAGATCCAGAGAGACGAGGGGAGGCTTCTGTCTCACTTCCCCTTGGGTCTAGAGCACTGTGTAAGCTTAGTGACATCATTCCGTATGTTACAATAATATCCTTGTCTTTAGGCTGCAGCTGTGTGCCCCCAGGCTAGGCAAAGGCTTCTGCTCACCGGTCTGTGGAAGGTACCAGCAGCTGATTCCTCCCTTGTCTCTCCCGTGGGGCCAACTCTGTGTGTGGGTTTTTTTTGTTTTTTTGGCCAGTGATGTAGAAAAGCTGGAAAAAATACCAGACTTGTACAAGGGCTTCTTAGCCTGTCCAGTGCCAAACAGAAAGTTTAGGACGAACCACGAGCCAGTTTACTTCTAGCTGCTGTGTTCTTGTGTGTAGGCCTGAACACTATAGTCCTATTAAAGGTATCTCTATTAATACTAAAAAAAGAAAAAGCACCTCAGACCAAGGTCAGATCTCAACTGATTCTCAGGGTGGAGCAGAAATCACTAGGAGGCAAAACAAATGTGTGTGAACAGCCCCTCCCTTTTCAGGACAGTGAAGAAGATAAAAAGATAAAAGAAGTCAGAACCACCAGCCCTCTGTGGCCTCGGAGGCAGTGTTTACCATGGCCTGAACCCCTCTCCCCGTCATGCTCCACTGTCACTGCACAGGTGAGTACAGGCTTCAGGAGTCCAGGGTTACCTCCATAGATTGTGTTAGCTACTGTGGTTCTGATCATGAGGACACATAATCTCGGTCTCGCTGCAGCACCCACGAGTGTCTGTGTCTGCAGGTTCCCTCTCCCAGCATGTGCTGACTCAGTTACCTCCTTCTCTGCATCCCTCGGATCATCTGCCAGATTCTCTCGCACCCTGAGCAGTGGCCTCAGTGTTGGTGACTATGTGATAACGTGGATACCAGCACAAGCCAGGAGATAGCTCATGAGTTTTAAGTCAGACTCAGAGAAGCAACCAGGGCTCCAGGATCCCCAACTGCTTCTCTGG